TATATATAGTATATATATATATATATATATATATATATATATATATGTATATATATGTGTAGTTATATATGTATATATATAGTCAAAGCTAACCAACCTTGATTTTCTTTCCAGGATGCAGTGAAGACGGTGGCGGAGACAGTAGCCTGCAAAGAGCCAGAGGTGCAGAGGAACAGTGAGCAGAAGATCATTACCACCGCAACTGACACGACTTCAATATTACCCCCGCCTCCAATACCTCCTCGGCCGGCCACGCGATCACCTCCGCTGCCTCCTCGACTCCCGTCGTTCACGGAGTATTTCAGCATGCAGAGTGACAGCAGCGGTGGAGCTGGGTACGGAACGAAGGCCTGAGCTGGAGAGAAGGTCAGGACAGAGGGTGAACTGAGTGGAGACATGGGAGGGGAAGAGTGGAAATCCTAACCAATGCAAGAAAAACATTGAATGAAAGGCATGATCCCAGAAAGGCAAAAAGAGGCAAGCACTTAAAAAAAAAAAAAAAAAGCCTGAGAAACTTTTTTTTTTTTTTTTTCATCTCAGAAAAGAAGAAAAAGCTGTGAGGAGAGAAGCTGTAGAAGAGGTCAAGGCTTTGCAAAGGAAGTGCTGGTCTTGTTCGAGAATAAAGAAGCAATAAATATTTGACGAGGGACAGTAAAAGGCACACACGAAAAAGGTGAGAGAGTGGATGTAGCCAGAGCAATAGCATGAAATCTGTGCAAAGAGTGTTAATAACAAAATACTTCTATTTCAGAAAGTCTCTGTATAATAGCTAACTGAGAGAGTGACTACAAATATATATATAAATATATATATGTGTGTGTGTATACTTTTATTTGTTCCAATTTTAAACTCAATTCTTATGACACTTTGAAGACAAAGCCTTTTTGTTTGGCTTATTTTGATAAAGTCTACTCTATTTAGAATTTGTTTTCATTTCTATTGAAAGCCGTCTTTATCGAGGCTGAGTACACTGGTTTAGATGCCCACGTGCAATGTTTGATGTCGAGTTAGTTCACTGTGGGCACTGATGATTTGTTGTAAAAGGAATAATTAAGAATGGTTGTGTTGTGTGTGTATATATATATGTATACATATATATGTATATATATATGTATATATATATATACATATATATATACATATATATATATATATATATATATATATGTATATAGATATACATATATGTATATCTATATACATATATATATATATATATATCCTGTGCCCCAAAAAGAAACGTATATTCCTGTCATCGTATAGTAACTCTTACTTTCTACTGACATCTAAACTTTCATTAGGTCAATTCTACCGTTCAAGCTGAGTTAAATAGGTGACGTACCTCGAGCATTGACACCGTGTCGCGTCGTCGTGCAGCTTCGTGGTGTCGAGGGAAAGCGATTGTTCGTCATGACGTCCTTTGTTGTGCTGCACAAAGTAACACATAAGAAAATATTTTTGGTACTTTTGCTTTTGATGAGAAACGTGTAAAAAATAGGCTCACATACTCAAAACGTACCGCTATTTGATATGTCAGCATTGGTAAATGTGTTGAAAATATACAGCACAATGATAGTAACAGTAATAGTAACACTTCGTTAGCACATCGCTGGTCGGACTATACTGACTCTTGTTTAGCTTATACTCACTACAGGGCTGCTACTAATTGCCAAAATTTGAGTTTGAATGTGATGGTTAAAAAAGTTCCGTAACACGACTTTTGCGTAAGTCGGAACTCATGTAATGTACATAAGTACCTATGTCCCTTACCTACGCTAAAACAGTGCTAACATCATAATCAGAAAAGTGTGACTTACGCCTGGGAGCCACAATGAAGGGCAAAAAGTTGTGTCCATTTCTTTTACACAGTCTACGCAAACTCAAATTTTTATTTTATTTCTTTTTTTCTTTTTTTTTACTTTATTATTTAATGCAGCCCTAAATGTCCACGACTTGTACGAATGTTAACACTTCTTTACCTTCTAACTCCTTCTTGAATATATTTTGTTTACTTGCATTTTACACTCGAATGAAGTATTTCTGGACAACAGCTGAACAAGTATATAGTTTTTTAACTTCTCGTATTAAGCAATGATGGAAAAAGTAAAGAAATCGGCGACGCAGCTGTACATTCTGCCAGCCCTGCATGGAACACTTTAAAGTTTAATGTCTGCTTTACTTTCACTTACTTAGAGTCGTATGTTTGAATATTCTTTAAACTGTAAATATACCTCATCTTTAAGTTGTTAAACATGTTTTTTTTTTCTTTTCATTTACTGCTGAATCCCAGGCTTCAGTGAAACATTTTAAAAAATACCTGTGTAAATATATCTTAGACTTTATGTAGAAATTAGCTTGTGAGTCAGCGGAGAGTATTTTTAAGTGCAACAAAATTTTAGATTAGGGATGTCCGATAATATCGGCCCGATATTAGCATATTTTGTAATATCTGTAAGAATCATAATCGTTTTTTCCTCCGATAATGAAAATCCGATAACTCAACACCTGGGTTTCGCCAAATGATGTTTGCTCTATAAATAGTTTTGGGGATAAACGGTTGTTTATTAAAGCGAAGATCACTAGATGGCAGCATTGCAGCTCATTTAACTAATCGCAGTGGTTTGTACAGAGAAATAAATATTACCAGCCCAATATCGGTATCGGTTGATATCGGAATCGGAAATTAAGTGTTTGAACGATATCGGCAAAAAGTTAATATCGGAAGTTCCTAATTTAGATCCTTCTTTTTGCCTTTCATCAAAATAAAACAGGCGAGGAGAAATTCTACCATGTTGTGTTTTTTTAAAACTTCTTAGGTTTTTCCGCAAACGTGCATCTTCTTAATTTGCACAAAACAAAGAAACAACGGATCGCTAATGGTGTCACGCGGTAATTTCAGTGGAATTCAGCCTTGTTTACTTGTTGGGATGTTATTGTGATGAGGTATTCTAGGTTGTCGACGTGCTGTGTGTCATTCATAAGAGTGTGTTCTGAGGCTTACCTTGATACTTGAAGAAGAGGTAACAGAGGGTCCGCTGTGTCGTTGGACGCTGCACACTCACGTTACGTGCAGAGTTTCAACTCTCGGAGAAGGGGGAACTGCTCTTCACTGGTGACGTGGCTGATGCCTTGAACAGGAAGTCAAATCATTAGATGTACAGTATTACCACCACATAGTACCAGATCATTTGTGCAGTGTGTGAACCACATCAGAAATTGAATTGTTTTACTCGCAACTATTGCCTGCATTCCCACCGTAGGACAAGTCGTGTAAAGATTGTGCAAATTAAATCACTTGTAACATAATCTCAAGTTCTCAATAATGTCAATCTGTGATACCCTGTCTGTAAAGTAAACATGGCTCTATTTAGATTTCTCAATAGTTCATCTGGTTTTTGTTAAGTATGGGTTTTAGTCTGTCAGTCCTCCACCCTAAAACCCCAATAAATAAAAACATAAAGCATATGATTAGTGCCATTGGTGTAACAAAAGACATAGAAATCCTAATATATATAATAATTTATCATGTATGATATTGTGTTGTGTCTGTCATACCAGGATCAACCAGCTAGGGGGTGCCATTGAGTCACTTACACCCTTGTGGGTTTTTTTGCATTTGTCTTCCATTTATTAAGCTGCAACAAAAGTTGCAGAAAATGTACAAGCCATGTTCATCATGTACTTATGTATTATTACTGTATCAGTGCATGGTCTGTTGTACAGCATTGGCCTGTTGACAGAGTTTTAGTTTATCATCATTGAAAGTTGGGT